CCCCCAACTGTACTCTGTTACTGAACATTAGGGGGTTTTGGGTTTTTTGTTTTGTTTTGTTTTTCTGGCAAGTTGCAGGATACAATAGAGAGAAGCAGCTGCATCAGAAGTACCAAAGGGATTGCTTTCAAGTTAACTGGAAGCCTTATAAATCACGCAGCTTATTTAATTTATGTGACACAGCTGCGCAGGATGCTTTGGTGGTTGCACAAGACACAGGACAAAGGTCAGAAAAATCAGAAATGTTTCGGCCAAATAGAGCTGTTGGCAACTAGACGTGGAGATGTTAGCATTGGTCTTGTTATTGAATGTCTTAATTAAAATGTAAAGACTACAAAGAACATGATTTAATGTGGATGAATGAGATAATATTTGTAAGTTGAATCTGGAATGGGATGAAGATAAACCTTAGTGAAGTGCAGTGATACTAGGGAACAAAACTACAGCTGAAAATGCTGATCTGTGGATAAGAAATTCAAGATAAAAACTGAATAGGAAGACGACTTTTAAAAATAGTAACGCTGAATAAGTCTTAAAATGCCCTTTAAAAACAAGATCATCCAGCTGTACCTTGGAAAAGGCAAGCTCCAGTTCTCCTTCAGATGAGGGAGAACATTTAGATTAGACCAGACACAAAACAATTTATGACTCGTGTTTCTTTTAACCTGAGTGTTAGCTCAGGTGAAAAAACGACAAATTGCACTTTTCCTGTGGAATAATCTAGATCTCACCAACCTTAAAAATCATCGGGCTTCAGGTGTAGAGCTGTATGTCATTGCAGCAGAGCAGACAATTCCGTTTTGAAGTACAGAAATGAAGAGTCTCATCAGGGACATGAGAAGTAGATTGTTTGGGTCAATTTTAGATTCCTCTTCAAATATCATCAAAGACCTAAAAAACCCCAAAACAACAAAACCAAACAAATAAAAATTAAAAAGGATTTTTTTTCCCCCCACTTCAAAATCTTTATCTGTTTCTTTGAATAGTTCTCATTCTTTTAAAAAGCATCTTTGTGAGACACAGTAGTTGGAAGTACAAACTTGACGGAACGCTTACCTATGAAATAATTGTGCTACTCTACACATTGATTATGTGAAAATATTTTTCATTTTTATTCTCTGGACTAGCTAAAAATGTTTGGTTTTCATGGAAAAAAAACCTGTTACTTGTTTTTATGGGAACAGGAACTCTCCCGACACCTTCCTCCTTGCTACCTTTTGCAAGAGACCTAAACAATTCAGCCAGCCCAGTCCAGGAGTACATGGCTTTCCAGTGTAACAACAATCAAGTGCAAATATCCTTGTGAACAGTTATGCAAGTATTTGGGATATTTGCTTCCAAAACATGCAAGCAAAAAAAAAAACCCAAACCACCAAACAGATAACCTGTGAGGCAGGCTAGCTGCTTCCGCTGTCAGGAGCATCTGCCAGTTTCTCATGTTCTAATGGGCAGGGGAGTGCATGATCTAATTAATATACATTAATTGTTTACTCCATTGTAGGTCAACAGAAGACATCCGAGGAGGCCAGCACTCAAGGACTTCCACTGTTTGCTCAGACCCTTACTCTAAAACCTCAGGAACAGCACAGGAATATTTTGGCCCGCTACCAGAATGTTATCCTCCCAAGGAGACCTTCTCCATGAAGTGTTCAAAGGTATGCACAACAAGAGGTAGGTGAGTTTCTTATTGCCTGCCGTCCACTCCTCTCCTTCCAAGGACTTGCCTTGGTTTTGGTTTCTGTGTTTAGAAGCACAACAGAGTATAGCTAGCAGAATATTAAAACAAACAAACAAAACTCTGGGAGAGTGAAAGTTAAGGATTGGCACAACTGCAGGTTACTAGCACGTTTTAGTCATCTAAAGGCAAGATTTATAGAGATACTTAGAGACTTGAAAATGCCTCTCCAGCATATGCCTACAGAGCATCGAAGTGGGTCACGTGTGTGATCACTCAGGTTGTGCAGCAAGACTTAACTTTCGGGATTTAGGAATAAAATAGATATTTGCATCTGTAGGCAAATTAACGATGGCTGTTGAAGCTTTGATGCTAGTTTATTTCTGACACGTTCTTCTCAGACTTCTTATCAGCTCTGGATTTAATCCAGTCATCACTGATGTGGGAGACAACTATTTTACAGGCATGAATCTGATAAAATAGCTCTTGAGAAACAACTTGGATTTTTTCATAGCTAAAAAATGACTGCAGCAATCAGAGAAATGAGCATTAATGTGGGAGGAAATCAGCCTTAACACTTAGTAAACTCGTTCCCATAAGCTGAAATAAAGTGGCGCTACAATATCCATTACTCCTTTAAAGTTTTCCTTCTTCCAGGACAATGAGCTTTCTCTTGTTGGCCCACTGCAGTCTGAGTTGGAACTTGCAGCTAGGTGCAACGTCTTCGGCTGAAGTCTATAAACAGCCTTTCAGTATCCTCCAGTAGAGAGGCAAATTAAGAGTTTAGTTGTTGGAAGTAAATTAAAATACATAAAGTTAGATTATTTCTTCACTCTATGAAGGAAAGTTAAGTAACACACTCCATTTGCTCTTAATATTTCTCTGTAAGTGAATATGTGAGCTATTCTAAGGGTGAGCTGAACTGTTTTCTCTTAGAAATATGCTCTGTGTATTTGTATGCAGCTTGTTTTTCATCTCAAGGACATTTAACTCCAACAATTAGTAGAGCATATTGAATGATACAGAGCCACACTGATGTTTTATCCCTGATAAAATTGTATCAGCAGTTTCTTCTTCAACAGCACTGAATTATTTTAATGTGTCTGAGAAGCTCTCCAAAACTCCATGCCTTACTTTATCACAGCTTTAGAAAAACAAAGTGGCAAGTTATTTTTAGTTTTCAGTGCAACCTGTTTAGACGTATAGATGGCTTAATGTGACTTGCTGGTTGTTTCCTTTCTTTTACCCACGTCTGCTTCTCATTTCAATGCATTAAACATCATTAACATTTTCAAAATATCCTGGTTGTGGATACCTCAGTTGAGAATGATGATTTAATTTCCACCTCTCCCCCAGGTATTGGTCAGTATTTTCCAAAAATTTAATGTCTGAGTTTGCAGCGGAGGAGGGAGAAGAGATCACGTAGAAAATAAACCCTTTTATTAGCAGTTTTGCCTTGAAAAGTGAAAAGACAGTGGAGCTCGATAAGATTATGAGAATGTTACTCCCCTGTTTAATATTTGACAGTACCAAGATTTAGCGGAATTTCCTAGAATTGCAGAATTCTGTATTCCCTGCAGTCATAGTAAACGTTATAAATGAAAAGCTACGAGTTGTTTACTAAGAAGTCAGTGTATGTGAGCTGATAACTTCTTACAGCATGAAAAGTTCCCATAAATACTTCTTAACCATCTATTTCTTTCGCCAGTGGTGAAATTCCCCCTTTCCAATCACCATAATTCTAAAATAAACTAATATCAAACAAGGCTGGGAAACAAAGTGACGTACCACAGTGTTTTCCAACAGCTGAAACATGAACCTTCGGTTTTGACTGTACGTCGCTCTACTTCCACTGTGATTTTTTTTCTTTTTCCTTTTACCCAGCAAATATACTTATGCTCTTTCTGCATGTTGACCAGTTTGGCAAAACAGAGAGTAATTATAAACAACCAGAGCTCTGAAAATTATTTCCTTCATCCAGATCTGCCCTCTTCATCCATGCCTTTTACCAGCAATATCCCAAAGAGCTAACGTTGAGTTTCAGAATCAGGCATCTATTTTTTGCGGTGAACATTCAAACATCTTAGCTGCACGTAGCAGCCGGAAAACAAAGGACATGCTGTTTTTCCATCTTTCTTATTCCCACCTTCCCTCCCTAATGCCCAGCTCCTTTTTTTATCCTCTACAACTGCGTCAAGACAATAAACCCAACTGAAATATTATGGAAGAGACAATGGATGCTGACCCTTTTTTGCCAGTAGTAACATTTGATACCATCTAAGAAACTAAAACATTCTGCTCCTTTTTATTCCCTTCATCTTGAAAACAGAAGGAAAAAACAGTCTCTTAAAACGTGATATGAGCAATACCTATTCAAAACCATTCAGGTAGAATCATGTCCTGGATCGTACGAGGCACCTAATTGCCCATCCTCTCAAGCAATGTACTAGAGTCCACATCTAGGGGAACCGTTAAAGTTTGGACCTGTAAAGAGTGAGCTGTCCTCTGGAATACTCTCCAGACTTCATATTGGTGGAATTTTCTGAACTGGAAAACTGCATTCACTTCCATTATGCTTACTACCTCTTTACAGACCTATCAAAAGTGTTCAATCCTTTTCTGAATCCCCTTTTGACTATGTTTGGCCTCCATATTATCTTACAACAAGGAGATCTGCGGTTTCTTTGTGCGCCTTGAGGAAATACTGTTTTGTTCCTTAGAATGTGTTAAAGGTGGTGTCTCCGGTTCTGGCGGTATTCAGACTACCTAATGAAAATCTCATATATTCATCTTCTCCATGATACTTATGATTTTAGGCTGAAGTCTTCTCTTTCTCCCTGTCACTGTGCTCACAGCACTTCTTCATAGAGTGAAGAATAGCTGGTTCTGTCCTTATCAAGAGTGATAAGTATCTTCCCTTTTATCTCACAGGAGCTTGTGTCATTTAAGAGCACTACCACTTGGACTGCCTTTCTTCATACGTCTGCTGAGCCTTTCAAATGACTTCCCTCTAACAAACTTTTGCCTCTTCCCTGCAATGCTATCTTTAGGCCTAGTTTCTAGCTGTTTTTTTCATAGGGACGTCACACTTGTGCAGATTACAGGTTCAAAAGGCAACAGAAGGACAGAAGTCTGCGACCTTCTGTTTCTGCAGTAGTGAAGGAGACTTAAGGAACAGCGTATAGGCCGGTGTTGAGCTGTCTAGATGCTCTAGGTAACTAAATGGGAATGGGAAATAAACTGCTCCTGATAAAGAAAAACCTTTCATCAGTTAAGGAACTACTGCTTGCAATAACCATTTCTTACCATTTATGGCAATAGTGCGTGCTGTTTAAAGCAGCGCACGTTGAAAACCACAAGAGTTTTGGCCTGGGGATACCTAGAGCTGGAATTCTTTCAGATTAAAACATTCAACTTGCTTTTCACAGTGCAGGTACAATTTCTGTAGTTCTCTGTTCTGTGTAGAAAAGCTAAATTAGTAATCCTGTTTGCTTTTCAAAGGACCGCCCCCTCCCCTTCTCTGGTCCTTTGAAAATATAACCAGACTCAGTGCTTTTGGTTAACCAGAGGGAATGAGAGAATGCCATGCTGCTTCCTTCACCTTAGAGAGAGAAAAATTGGAGTCAAATCCAAGAGTGAATTGCTGATCTTAAACTGGTCATAAATATTTGGTCACTTGACCCTGAAACCATCTCTTTTTAGTATGTCTGTTTCTGTGAAAGCAGCAGAGCAATGCAATTCCAGGATAATGCTTCATTTAGTTTGGCTTAAACAGGGAAGGTAAACTAAGTTTCTCGCATCTTGGGTCGGTGTGCGACTCGGGAAGTGCCTGCACGTTTGCCTTATACAGAACTGTACTGTGCTGGTCATCATTTCTGAGCTAAGTAACTTCTTTATTTTTAATTCTCCAACCCACTTGGCATTTAAGGGAGACAGCACTGAAAAGGTTAGAAAACGCTTTGTGGGGGAGCAAGTATAATTGAATCCGTGTTCTTTGCTGCCATGAATACAGCTAAAAGAGGCGCCATGAATAGTGTCAGATTTCTGAAGCATATTGTAGACGCTTCCAAACAAGCATGCCTTTAGTCTACATTCTAACATCCACAATTGTTAAAACCTTCAGACCAATTTCCTCTCAGCAAAAGACAGCATTATGGTTTGTAACAACAAGAAAAGTCTCCCATTTCAGGCGTAGCCAGGAGGAAATATCAAACTGAATTTATTTGGAGGAGGAAATAGAATTAGGGAGTAACAATGACTTTCTCCAGGATATATTCATGCATCAACAAGCCAGCATTAATTCAGATGTAAACATCTATAAGCTTTTGTTTTTGCAAAACACAGTCCAAGTTTTTTCCTGTAGCCATGCATGCTGGCAGATACAGACTGGAAAAAAATACTGAGATGAAAAGTCACCCTCAGCACAGGGGTCACACCAGCAGACGCTTAGTTTTTTCGTAGGGACGTCACACTTGTGCAGATTACAGGTTCTGTAAAAGCGATGCTGTTGTTCATAAAGCATTATACTGCCGCCGCTCCGTTGTTTTGTTACGTCCTGATACCGTTCTTCTTCCAGTCGGACGTGGGAGCAGGAGGGGAACACTGTGCATATCGCAGGTAACGTCGTGGATGAAAACAAGCTTGTGACAAGTACTTTTGGCAGCACATGTTAGATCTTTTTAGCAGTGCTCAGCAGGATGCTGACATTTCTGTGGAGGCACCCAATAGGGTTAGAAACTGCTGTATTTTGTAGTCACCATCTTCACAGTCTGCCCCTACAGTCTGCCCTCTTTAGCTCCTTTAAATTGTGATCAAAGCTGTCGCAGGCTGTTCCTGTGGCGGTTAATTTCAACATATTTCTGCTGTGGGAAGGGTCCCCTATAGTCTCATTTCTAATTAGATGGCTTCCCCCTCCTATCTGTTACAAAGCTTAGTTTAAATACAGTGTGACTACCGCTGAATTTGTCAGCCAGTTTAGTATCTTGTAATTGTGAAG